TAATACAAAAGATATGTGCGTAGCAAGTCAAAGTCATCCATAACCATAGATTGGCTAATGAGGTTTTAATTACTGGAAGAATTTGAGATAAGTTTTGGACCCATAAATAACTAATCGTTGTAGTTATAATGAATACCTTAATAATTCTACAAATATCTATATTTAATTTTCTAACATTTAATGTGCCAGATAGGTGACAATAAATGTAAAACGTAGAAACTCTTATCAAAATCCTTGAAAGTATTATATTTTATAGTTTAAATAATTTTATCTTTAATTTCGATTCTAAAACTTGGTCACTTAATTATACTACCATTTAATCAATATTATATCTACCAGCTATCATCAAATGTATATTAAAAGAGAATACAGTTCTAGGGTTCCGTGATTAATATTCTGGGATATAATAGTATTTTTTAAATTTCGAAATTCAGAAAATTCAGAATACAACTTCAACCCCTAAGCATCTTCTATTCTAAATAGTATTTAGGTTAAAGGATTAAGATAGGGCCGTCAAATTCAGGATAAAGCCATATCATAGTCCACCAGAATAGCAACGCATAAGTAGTATCAGCATCACATTGTAATTTAATCCTTATTGCTATTCATATATTACGGTTACCTCTTACCATCGTTGGAGCCGACAGCTGTTAGCCATTTCAATTACATAAAAAATCACAAATTTTGAACAAAATAGAAGATTTGTTGGATTATGAAGCGACATTAAAATTTGAGTATATCGTAAAATACAAAGAAGGACATAACACACCGAAAGTTTATGAGCGGCGAGGTGGGACCGCTGAACTTTGTGGGACGCAACGTAATAAACACCTCTGAAGAAAGTAATATTTCACTCACGAACATTTTACAACTAAACACCTCATTTGTTAAACCGCTTTGCTGAATTGTGTGATCATACGATCAAAGGTGACGCGGCTATGCTCGATTGTATAAAAGAAATCCAGTACCTTGCGCTCTTTGATTCAAAGTGTGACGAAATGCTCAAACCGTATTAATATATTATAATAGACTAATAAAACCGCTCCAGTTTCGTACGAGTCACATAATTACTTCTCCTCTTCTTTATAATAAAAAGTGGCCATATTATTAATTGACACTTCGTCTTTCAGGTAAAAAATATTAAAAATCTGTTAAGATTTTTTAATCTTTCCATTACCTAACTTCCATTTATGGAAAATACAATAAAGACAACTTAAGTGGATATCGATACCCTAATATCTACTACGACACTTTCACACATTGTCTAGAGAAATACTTATAAACCTAAAAATTCATCACAAAAATGATAAACGCATGACGTTTGTATATTCCAAATGAGCACTGGTATTTTGGGAACCACAACACCACAGATAATGCACAAGACTATAAATTGTATCACTGGAAACTTATTGCCAGAGACCTCAGGAATTGCAGGCAGCAGCAACGACTGCGTGGATACTCGTCCTGCATGATTGCGCGCGCGCACTACCGTCGCCGACTGGGCCACGCTATCATTAAGTTTCCGTAAAGCCGGCGAAAGATAATGGTGACTAATGAAGACAACGCAATCGGTCTCAAGATAACAGCATTGTTTTTGAAGGAAATCCTTGCCTACTTTAAGTAAACTATGAGTTCATCTCATTTGAAATGTACTCAAAAAAAATGTGAAAACAATAATTAAAATTTTTTGTTTATTTATTAATTACCTTTAAAGTTTTACTGCTATCGCATAATAATATATTTAAGTCTCTACTTGTGCTTCGTTCATATATCCAGGTTATGATATGATTAAAATCGTACAAACAAACGTACAAACAGAATTATTATATTTCCAAGTTTATACAAATAGCTACTATTTGTACTCTTACCCGCAACTTCGAATGCTTTTTGAGATAAAATATATGCTTACGTATGTCGGGGCAATTTCATTAAGATTCCTTCTCTCTAGGCAGGAGCACTTTCATTTGTAATTAGTATGAATTAGAAAGAATTATAATTCTCTTATATTTGTTCAATACATTTGAGCTTCTAAATATGACACCACTTACCGCGGCGGTGTATGAAAAATTTATTTTCTGACTGATCGTCATTTTGGTTTTATGTGACGTCATATTGCCTTTAACATTTGCGATAAAACGAGGAACGAAACGATATCTCATTCATCAAAATCCGTCTAGCCATTTACTTGGCCTTTACGACCGAATAAAATATGAACCACAAACATTTAATACACGTAAAAACGATAAGTACATCTGTTTTTTATCTATGACAATACACATATTTTGATAACACGTCATTAATGTAATTGGAATGTGAAAACATTAAGATTGCCCACGCAATGGTAATCTTAGCCGCCTAGCTCGCCCATAGCTATCTATCTAATATATAAAATTCTCGTGTCCCAGGTTTCGTGTTTATAGTCCTCCGAAATGGCTTGAACGATTTTGATGAAATTTTATAGGTACAACCAGTAGGTCTGAGAATAGGTTTATAACTAATTATTATACCCCTGAGTGTTAAGTACCACCTCAAAAATTATTTATTTATTTTTTCGACAATTTTTTTATTATGTGGCATTAACACACAACCCTAAATTTTCACCCTATTTTTAACAGAGATTTTAATTTTGTAAGCATATTAGTCAGGTAATTACGAAAAGTATGCCTTTTCCCATTACTGTCCTTCAACCCTTTTCTCTTTTTATCCTATGGTTAGCTGGTAGAGAATGCCATATAGCAGAAGGTCGCCAATTGTAAATTATTATAGATAGAGTGCAATAAAGGATAAATTAATAAATACATTTGTACATGTCCAGTACAACAGACATGACGTGGTTATGTGAATACAGATGTATTCTTTATGTGGTGTAATTCTGGATGACTCTACGACAACGGAGGCAGAACAGTTTATGGCTTCGTACAGTGCATTTCACGGCGTTATCACCCTAGACCGGAAACCACCAGACATATAGCCACGTAAACGGCTTTGACCAGCTTTATAACTTCAATTCTAATGCATATTCTTTATTTTGGTTGACTTTCTGGTATTTCTATATGCTTGCATAGGCTCGGGTGTAAAAGATGTAACTGCTTATGGTAACAATACCATAAATATTTGAATGCGTTAACAAAAAAATCTGTAAATTAGTGGATGTAACCTCTAAAATGCAAGTTGGGAAAAATTATTTCATGTATTGATTCCTGCAAGAATCCAGAACGTCATTACGCGGAATAACTTTTAACGACAACGATAAACGGGGTGGGGAATACATCGAGTTAGTTGAATTAGTTGCATCCGTGAACTTCGACCGTTTTCACTTCAGTTTCCCGTTTTTGGCACATTGCCCACACTCTGGTAGTCAAATCACGATGGTTTGTACTTTATTGAGATTTATTTATTATTATATAGTAAACCAACGATTAATTTAAAAAATCGGTAAAATAAATAAATAGCGCTGCACAACACACGCAGCGCCATCTGGATCCTAAATAACCAGAGCTTATAATATGATAACTAAACTATTGGTAGAATAATACAAATAGAATTAGTTTATCGGATTATATTTATGGACATACATAATAGACCTTTTCTCTCTAATCACTGTGACTAATTTATTTTCTATTATGTAACTGCATTTATGTTTAATAATTGTTTACACTTATGATTTTGTTTATACCATTTGATAGTTTTTGCACAAATGTAACATTTGTTTAGACGAGAAAAAGCCCATTTTCATAATTTGTCCTTATTAGTAAGGTATACCAACGAGATATATCCAGTAATGTATAATAGAATACATAATTATTCTACATTTGTTAGTCTCATTTAATTCAGTATTTAATAGCAAAATATACGTTTATATCATGGATTTTATATATTAAAATAATATTAATATCAGAGTTGAATTAAATTACGATTCACGTGGCAGAATCGTAGTTAGCAAACAATAAAGACTTTACATATTCATTACCAAGGGAGTATAATTATGAGGTAATAATTCCAGACGAACATCAAATGCATAACAAAGAGAAAACTAATTAGCGGCGGTCACGAGGATCAGGGGAAAATAGTCAATAGCAGAGAGGGTCGTCCTGGCGTAGTGGTTTATTACTGAGACTTATAAACCCCAAGGGTCATGAGAACAATTCCCGCAGACTGTGTACCAATTTAAATTTTTGACTTGCTGTAAACGTTGACTCTATACTTTCAGCGAAATAATAACAACCCACGACAATTTTGACTCAATCTAAGGACAATTTGTACAATGAGTACACATCAATAGAAACAAACCTACATGAACCGGTAACCATTGGATTTAAGGCGATATGCTAAACCGCTAGACCACCAACGCTGTCAATAAATAATACAAATGGAGGGCATATCAAGTAATTCCATTACTTAACGTCTGATATTTGACCAATCTCTGACGACCCCATGTAAGATAACAGTCGTGAAGATGTTTATATTCAAATGTTGAGTGAAATCTCTTGAGCATCGTAAATGTCTTGAGATTCTAGTACGTAAATGCGTCTGTGTTTCAGTCGGAGACGCCTCATAAAAGGAGAAACATTTTACGCTCCATTGAATAATATATAACTAATGTTACCATCCGTCACGTTGTAGGCGGGACAGTTCCCTTTCAGGCTGTCTGTGTCCCTTGTCTCCAAACAGAGCAAAAATATCCTGCTTTTACGAATAACTTCAGTAAGTTTTGAATTAAAAAAAACGACAAGACTTGTATTCCACCACTATTAGGAGTCAATCGCGGACAAACAACTTGACACGTAATTTTTACATGTAAAGTTTTAATTGACGTGAAAGATATACAACGAACTATACTTTCTGTTTCTTTTGTTCATGATAAAATTAGCGACCTACCAATTGATCGCAACCTAGTTTGACAAATACTGCATTAACAAATTGATCTTGTGTTGTTCTGTCCCACTTTGTGAATAAGAATAAACGGTCATAGTATAGATAAACTACTATTTAGAACTTACCCGCTAAAACCGCGTCGCTGCTTTCCAGGACTTGCGACATTGACTGCGGCACCACCGGGGTCCGAATTCGAGGCTTCTGGAAAAGAAATATCCATTAAGCATCTTTCATATAGATTTGCAAAGTAATATTTTTAAATGTAATTACGAGTAATTATTTTTTTATATGTATATATATAAGAAACGTGTTATAATGTTCTGTAATACTAGAAATACTCGACGTGTTCCTTAAAAACATAAGAAACTAATCGCCCCTATAATTTATTAATGAGTAGTCTGGAAAGTAAGAAAACAATGACGAATATAAACTGCATTAAGAGAAACGACTCTTATTCCAATGATATTACCGTTGAAGTTCTAAATTAGAACAAATCTAAAACATCTCACTAAATAATGGAGTCCAACATTTAGTTGGAATTTAAGTTGTAATAACAATTATTTCTGCTTAAATTACTACAATGTCAATTATGCAGATAATTAGACAAATGTCTGTAGAACAATTTCAGTAATGTGTGTAATGCAAGTCGAAAACTGTCTTTATGAAATTGGTGACATTCCAATAAGCGTAATAATGCACTAATGTTATCTAATTTCGTATTACACTAGTAATTCTGTACTAAATATTTCTAGCACTAGTAGGACATACATTTTAAATAAACGAAGTTAAATTATAAAATGTGAACAAAGGGCCGTTATTAATGCTCGTAACAGTATTTAATATTAATTTTAATTTAAATTTTAAAATTAAAATTTATTAATATAATATTTTGTAAATCAAATTAACAGCAGCGCTGCTGATAGTTATATTGTAAAGAAATGTGCATAATTTAGTGATAAATTTTAAGTATTATTATTGAAAATGGGACACTTCTAAATAAAGTGACAAGTATATATGTTTACATTCCTTCCATTTTTCTTATGCGCGTTGAATATTACTAATTATTAGTTCTTTATTTTGATTTAAAGTCTTTCGATTTTTAATATTTAGTATTGTATTATTTATTGAAAATAATTCTTGTTACTTACAGAATTACTAGTGTAATAATTTTCAAATTTTGACCTTACAATAAATATCCGAGGTACCTAGCAAGGTATCTCGGATATTTATAGTAAGGTCTGAGGCTTTAATAGTAAATATTTCCACTTAGAAAATTTAAGATACATATACACAATCTACCAAACACGTATTCGTAAATTCGGCAGGTAAATGAGATAACTTATAGGTTCACTCCTATAATTAAGTAATATTTCGCACAACCTAACGATTAACGAGCTCTTTGTGTCCGTTGCTTAGAAATTGCGACAGGAGAACCGGGCGACGGTTATGACATATCCGGAAGATGTTTTCTAAAGGCTCTGTGCTATGAATAAGCTGGTTTGTCAACGAGATATATCAGTACTAAGATACAATGGTGAGCATAGCATCTTTTGCTGACAGGTTAACATGCAAACAAATGATAATACGTACTATGATTTCTGCTTTAAATGGAACGGCCAACTGTAGTGCCATACGCACTGAATGATTTAAAAACATTAACGAAACTGTTCGCGCACAATTTATTAATATATTAAATAACAAAATGTTATCATCGTTAAGATCGTGGAAGGCAAATATCGTGACGAATAGCATATGGAAGACTAATCAGAGATGTTATCAGTGCCTGCAGTAGATTGTCGGTTCATTGAATTGGGCTTAATTAAAGGGCTAGGGATTGGTGAGGAAGTGACCTCTAAGATTTAAGACAATACCTGCTAGATACAGCAAAGCTCGGTAGCACCACGTACAGAGGAACATGTGGGTCCCCGACGTCGCACACAACGCTACTAAACAAGAAGCCATACCGCCCGCCGCAACCTAACTAGTGTTGTCCTGTATCCTCTTTACTTAACATTTTAAGTAGTAAAAAGAAAAATGCAATTCACAAACCTAAAAAAACTATATAGTTATTTTATTACGACTCACTTACATATATTGAAAGAAATACAGAACAAGAGAAAATGTAAGTTTTGTTTTGTTATTACACCAAAGACTACGCCACATTCATATCTTCTCTATAAAACCTTTTTAAGCGGAGGCATTATTGTTAGCACGAGGGCTTGTCGATTAAAAATAATTTGATAAAACAAAAAAGCGCGGTGCACGGCGTCGAGCCTAAGGTTCAGGAGGTGGAGAGATTAGCCGAAACCAGTGTTCCGTGAGATCGGTCCGGGTTGGTGCCTCAGACAAGCCCGGCCTATCGATTGCGCGCGGACGGCTGAACTCAACAATATTGACACACCTTTCACATTCAAAAAGGAAATCCTATTTTACGAACGGTGGATGTTAAATGACAGGTGCCCGTTTACATGATACGTTTTAAACGGCAACTGATTGTTTCATTACCGTTTCGTTGGATATTTCCGTGTTCTGCAGTGGATAGGCAGGACATTTGGGTCAATTATAGCGAATGTAGGAGGTATATAATAACTTTATTGTGGTCTATTTTCTAAATTTATCTGAACTAGTTCATTTTTCTTACACTCTGTGTATTTATCGTAATTTCTAATTTCATCTGTATAAGTCAATTTTGTTCGGGGTTTGTTAAGAATTCGTCCTACGATCAATAACGTTAATCGGCATACAAATTCAATTCAGATTTATACCTATTGCAGAGATACTACAAGTTGATCATAATTGCACACGTTCAACTATCAGATGAATTCAACCCCTGAACGTTATAGGACTCATGACCCTTTATAAATTAGGAGTTTAAAGGTAGAGTTAAAATTAAATAAGTCTGCTTGATTATATTCATATTACAAGGTCTGTCTTTTATATTTGTAATACATTTATTATTTACCATTAAGAGAATACATAGGATATTAATAATATATACAGAAAAGCAAATAAACATGTAAATCTAATGTCAATAAAAGCTATTACAATATTACGTAATATTTGCAAGATAACTAAATTTAATGTTTGGGCGAAGAAGATAATAAATAATGGAATAGGTAGGTTTAGAGTAGGAAAAGCTAATAATATTTTATTCGTTTGTGCTCTCTGAAAAATATTGCAAAGAAAAATAGAATATTCGACCGTTTGCAATCATTTTTCTCCGAATAACCTATCGGTCGGACCTAACAAAAACTTAAATGCAAAGTAAAATGTAAAAATACATTTTGAACCTTTCGCATGCAGCGTAGACGAGTGATGGATGTAATATTGAATATTCAATATTTATTTTAGTCTTCCACTTTGCTTTTTTGGGGAAGTATATTCGGTATTACAAACTTTCAAACGTATATTCGGTATTACAAAATTTATAAACTTCTATCACGGGCTTTCGAATTTACCCTTTGACCAGCTGTGTGAATGTACTATTTACGCTACAAATATTTCGTGTATTTGCTATGTTTCGGCATAACTCAAAGCTCCCGTATTGCATAACGTCGATCTAGACGGACAAGTTAAGTTTGCAGTGGGGTTGCAATGACTGTCTGTGCAGTTATTTTGTTTACAGAGGACTGATTACCGACGGCTCCATACTGCTTCAAGTTGGTACAAACATGAGAAAGTTCATTACAGAGCTGAACTAATAATATCCCGGCGTATATCTTGTTCAACAAACAATATTTATTAACTAACTAGCTTCCCAAAGCTTCGGTGTCATCCGTATTAAATTGTAATATATAAGTGAATTTTAATAAAAATATGTTATTATCAGAATAACATAAGCTATAATTCTGTAGTTGCATCAAAATCCATTCAATAGTCTTTGTTTGAAAGAGTAACAAACATTCATACTTACAAACTTTGGCGTTCATAATATTATTAAGATTAATATAGCAAGAGTTAACATGAGAATATACATAAAAAAGTTTCGCAGTTTAAACAGGACTTGAAATTAACATGCATATGTTTGTTAATAGAGTCAACAGATGTGTATATTAAATGAAGTTCGCTGATTATTAGGACTATTTTAAACTCTATAGATATTACATAATATTTAAACTTACACTTTAAACATTTTTAATTATTATTTGATACTGTTAGCATATATAAGTTTCTTTTGCCTTTCTATGCTTGTACAACTTCTTTCGCATCTATAATATTGGTCGGGGTAGATGTGTTTACGTAACTTGTATTGTAAATTCGTTATTTAACGTCCAAAACTTTGTGACTAATCGGTTTCCCGTAATTCATGGCGAACTTCGATTGACTTTCACAAATTTGTAGTAGAACAAATCGTAACGTGACATATTAACTGAACGGTAAAATCACTTCCCCACTGTAATTGATTATAAGGTACGTGCAACACCGGAAAATGTTTATTCCGGTGGGACAATACGTGTTGTTGTGCAGACGTACAACAATTCTATACTGTAGCTTGTTATATTGCGTTGTGAATTTCTCATGCAATGAATGAATTCAATATAGAGAAGGTTTCTCAAAACAAGGACACTCTTTCGTTGACTAAAAAACTGTTAAATTTATATTATACTAACAACCCGCCTATATAACCCGTATATAATATTATACTAAAGCCCGGATTAGCACAGGTATATCAATTAATTAACAAAATATGTAACTAATCATATACCTAAATTTTCATAACGAATCACTCAGTTGACATAATAAAACCGCAAATATTATATCAAAATTTGTTGAACAATTTAAGAACGAATAGGGAATAACTTACTCTATTTTATTAATATCACATAGATTATAATAAATGCAAATAGACAAAGGAACTCTCAACATTATACTACAACGTGACACAAATATAGTGCTGACAACGCAGGTTCAGTTTTACATCTGTAATCATTCTAGAAAAAACTTGGCTGACACACAGACGGACTACGAACTGATCCGGTCTTTACCGGTTTTTAATGGAGCCATTCAAAACTTTGTAGCCCGTAACATTACACTCGTTTGTAGCTCTCATAAAATTTATATGTGAATCAACGGAGATTTTTTTATGTGCCTGGAAAACATGGTAACTAAACTCTCCACCCGATGGAAAGCTGTTATCGTATCCTATCTACAGGAACAATGTCATGTGCAATACAGTACTTATGCAATATGACTACATGTAT